TAACAATATGGCTCTTTTTAGTGAGTCACTATGAATCTCTGAGGTTATCTTTATGTGAAAAATGTTGTATAATCATGTAAATAGGCACAGTGATATGCTATTGATAGGCACAAGTGCTATTTAATAGCTGACTAGCTAAAATATCAGCATTCTTATCACTTACAACTGAAAAGTTAGTAGCAAAAACATTCAAATATGCCAGGGGTAGTGGCTCATGACTGTAATCCTAGCACTTTGGGAGGCCGAGGTGGGTGGATTGCTTGAGTTCATGAGTTCAAGACCAGCCTGAGCAAGAGTGAGATTCCATCTCTAAAAACTAGCCAGGCATTTTGGTGGGTGCCTGTAGTCCCAGCTACTTGGGAGGCTGAGGCAAGAGAATCGCTTGAGTCCAGGAGTTTGATTGCTGTGAGCTATGACATCATAGCACTATACCGAGGGCGACAAAATGAGACAGTAGATCCTTACTATAGACTTTTTTTTTTTAATATAGAAAAGCACAAAGAGAAAGGAAATTTACCCATATTTCCATGACCAGAAATGATCGAATTTTGGTGTTTCTCTTTTGGCCTTTAACTGTGTACACATCCTATATAATTATAATTCCTTTGATCATGCTAATTTATTAAGGAGGACATAAGGCTTTGCTTAATTCTATTGTTTTTTATCAACTATTTCTTTTATTTTGATAAGGTAAATATATAGTCATGATAAAAATGTTAAGCAGTGTAGAAGGGAACAAGGTAAAAACAAAAGCCACTATCCTATCAGCCCTTCCCACCCTCCAATGATAACCACTGGCAAAATTCCTTGTATAAACACTTTTCACACACATGACCTCTTAAGGTAAAAGAGAAAGGAGACTGCTGACCCTTCTTTAATGCACTCCCTGGAGGTTACTGCCAGATCTCATCTGGCCTGACTGGCTGTCAGCAACACCAAGAATTAAGTCTTAAGAAAAGACACCGGCTTGGTGCCTGTGGCTCAAGCGGCTAAGGCACCAGCCACATACACCTAAGGTAGCAGGTTCAAATCCAGCCCGGGGCCCACCAAACAACAATGATGGCTGCAACCAAAACTCTACCCAGGGGTATAGTTTGAGGCTCCGTCTCAACAAAAAAAGAAAAAAAAAAGAAAAGACACCTAGTTCCAATGTCAGTGAAGTTTTGATTAGGAAAATAGGTATAAGAATTATGAAATAGGATGGTCCTAAACCTATGAAGTAAGCCTGGGTGAAATCAATAAAACCTAGAAAGGTTCACTAGTAGTCAAAGAGGGCAGGTATACAACCAGGGAATAGCAACAGCAATAGCTATTTGGTATCCTGTACTAAAATTTAATGTTGCTATCCTCTGTAGAAGAGAGTTAAACATGAGAAACAAATATATGAAGTACAACTATAGATTAAACACATATGTATTTAGGCTTGAAACCATAGTAAGGCTTCGATTTTTTTTTCCTCTTGTCGCATGCACCATCTTGTGGTGACATTAGGACATTTATTTTAAGCCATTTTCTTTCCTCTCTGCAGATGCAGTGAACACAGTTTACTTATATTAATCTTTCACTATTTATATTTAGTTATGAATCAGTGGTATATGCAAAAGATTATTAGAGTACACTGAGGTCCCTGACTTAAGCAAATAACATATTTTACAAGTCATTTTAGTGGTTATTTAGTAAGAAAATACTTGAAATGGATACATTTTCCCACTAACAAATGGATGACTATCCAAAAGTTTATTTGCAAGCTGGAACTTTAAATTCAATTTTTATGGAGAATCAATGTTGTGATTAGTGGCTAAGTACTGAGACAGACCAAAAAACCAAATTTTCTATCCCAGAAATATTATACTGGTCAATGTAATGGAAAAACACAACATAAC